AAAATGTAATTAAGTCATCCAGCATTAAAAAAGTTCACTTAAACACTCAAGTTTGTTAAAATAAATCAAATAAACCATGTTTACCGCAACCAATAGGTTACCAATTATTTACCGTCCAGAAAGCTCAGTTTTGCCGGAAAGACCACCGTACTGTTCGTTTTCTCCAGTGGAGAAAACGACCATGGAGAAGACGAAGACCAATCCGGTCGACGAGCATATGGTTGAAGTTCGACGATCGCCGAAATGTTAGACGGAAAATTAATGATCGGTAGTTTCAAGTGAACAACAGGTCATTTGGGTTTAATTGTATCAAAATGACAAGTTTTGAGTGTTTAATTGAACTTTTTTTTTAATTGTTAGAGGGCTTAATTGCACTTTTGGGTAAAGTTTGATGGCTTATTTGACCATTTTCTCTTCTTTTTTTTTTTAAAAAAAAATGAAAATAAGGCTTAACCATTAATATAGATGAAATTACTGTTAAATCTAAATATAGTCTAACGATATTGAATATAATCTACGAGAAACCTAACCTCGTAGTAGCGAAAGCGGAAGCAATGTAGATCTCCAGTCATAGTGTTTGGTGTATAAGTGTATTTTTTTTTTTTAGTAGTATGAGTACCATAACTTTAGGTGCTATATAATGAATATCATATATCTCATCAATACAACTTTATATATATAGGCATAATGGTGGAATACAAACTAAACCTAAATGTCCAATCCAACCAAACTACTTAATAGACCTAGTCCATTGCACCATATAATTAAGGCTCATAATATATAATATATTATACGGGAAAGTCTTACACCAACATCAAGAAAGAAAGAAGGCAATCATCTCTTTACATTTTTTTCACTCCACAATGATTTAAGTTTAAATCCTATCATCATGTTATACATCAAATCTAAATTTACAAAACAATATTTTTCTTAAAATCGGTATTTAAAAGAAAGAAAAAAATAAATAAAAAACACCACAAAAAAATAAATATGACTAATTAATTTATGTGTTTCCCACTCATGAATCAATAACTAATGTTGGGGTAAAACAAAGCAACAACCAAACTTTAAGGTATATGTAGTGTCTACCATGTTGCCTTACAAAGCCATGTAATCATGATAGAAAGTCTTCAAACTAAACCAATTGTCATCTACACTTTAATTTCTCCTTTCTTTTTTGTTTATTTTCTTCTTTTCTTTTCTTTTCACTCCAATATAGAATTGAAACTTTATTACTTTGAATCATGCTTAATTTGGGTAAAGGATAAGTGGTGTCTTTTACTCATCCAATTACTTCATTCACTTCAACCATCCTACTTCAAACAAACAAGCATCCTAAGTACAGCATTATTAGTATATACAGATCAGAGTGAATATTGAATATTGTCATGGTTTAGTAAACATAAAATACATATTAATTACATTTAACTGACAGAAATTACAATTATGTCCTTCTATTTTTCTTTTTTGAAAACTAACTACGCCATTAACTTATATAATCCTTTTTAAGTGTGCCGTGATCATTATTATTTTATAATTACATATAACATAACTAATTTAGAATCGAACTTTTAACTGACTACATAAATATTTTAAAAAAAAACTAGTGCCAAATAGATTGGTTCGATACATCTCTTCATGACCTTAAATCAGGTTTATGAGGTCTAGGTCTCGAATATAGTCTGACAAAATTATAAAAATGAGATATTTAGTTATTCACCAAAAAAAAAAAAAAAAAAAAAAAAAAAAAAAAAAAAAAAAAAACTAGTGCCAAAAGATAAAAGGTCGGAATGTTAGAAGTGTCCAATAGGAAACGTGAATTATACCCCAAGTCCCCAAGCCACATATATTGATTCGCATAACTATATATATATATATATATATATATATATATATATATATATATTCTTAATGTACTTAAATGTATATTTTGATTCTTTTCTTCTAGTATTGATTAATATGTTCTATTTTATATTTTCTTATTGTTTGATAAGTAATGACAACAATTTTTTAAAGAGTTAATTCCATATTTTTGTCTAAATTTTTAGACGTCGTTCCATTTCTAGTTTTTTTTTTTTCTTTTTTCCAGAATATCTCATGTTGGTTGAATTATCATTGTGGCATAATCATTTTTATCTCCTGTCAGCAAACCTATTTAAATGACGTTAAATATGACATTTATGTCTTTTTATACAATGTGAGTTGACTTACTATAATTTTATTTTTAATTTTTTGGAATAATACATAATTCACGACTAGAGTCACATGTATGTAGGGGTGTAAATGAGCCGAGTAGCTCGCGAGCGGCTCGGTCAAAACTCGGCTCGAGATCGGTCAAAATCGAGTTCGAGTCGAGCTCGAGCGGCTCGTTTAGTAATTGAGCTCGACCCGAGCCTATAATATATAATATATATAATACATAATATAATATAATATACTAATAATATATAAATAACAATTAGAAATTAAAATTTTAAACTCAAAATCCCTAAAAATTTCTATTATTTATGTATGGATAAAACAAAGTAGTTTGAATTTTTAATCAAAAGTATTAAATAGGTCAAATTCACTGTCAAACTCAAGCTCGAGCATCAGTTCTCGAGCTCGAACTCGAGCCGAGCCTCCATTAACGAGCTCAAGCGCAAGCCTAAAAAATAATAGTACTATACGGACCCAAAATGGCCGAATGTCATCCATTCATAGTTTAGGATGACAACTACTTCATTTCCCCCATAATGTTTTTCCTTTTACAGTGTTTGCGTGTGTGTTCGTATTTGATTCCCATACGGCGGCCATATAGATATAGGTAAGCCTTTCAAGACACATAAATACATAATACGTTCATGAATTCTCCAAACGTAAAAGCACCCTATACCCAAAAAAAAAAAAAAAAAAAAAAAGTCCCTTCGGCGGGAAAGAAGAATAGGAAACATATATCTATCTCTCTACCAACAACTAAAAGGTAAAGCTATAAACGACTAAACGTGCACCCCACCCCCCGCTCCCCCTCTCCTTATATATATATACACACACACTCATTTTACATGAAAACTCTGGAGAAATTAATGAGCAAGAATAAACAGTGGAAGCAAGTCTCAAGAGATAGATAGGAGAAAGTAGTCGTCTGGGCTGTTGCGTTGATGAATCCTCTAAAAGCTGCATGCTTTTTTCCACATCAATTCTAGCTTGGGTTGCTTTCATATCAACTTCATCAGATTCTCTCTTCTGGGTGGGTATGTTGTTAATCCTCTATATTTCCATTATTATTTTTTTTCAATTTAAGAATTATTTGGTGAACTGGGGTTCGCTGATGATCTCCAATAAATCTTGAAAAACAAAACAAAAAAAAAAAAAAAAAACCATTAAAAAAAGAGGGTTTATAAGCTCTCTTCGCCTTGTTTATACAATGCATTTACTAGAATGACAGCAGGGATATAAACTGTGGATTCTAGGAAATCTGGGCAACGTTAAACTGCACAAGTCATCAAATATTCCATGCGTTTTCTACTCCCTTACGAAAAATATGTTTTATATTTTTAGTATTATCAAATTTGAAATACTATTTTATATTTATATATACTGATAGCTGAAAACCAAGAAAATGGTGGATGAACACAACACGCTTCCTGCCTCTCTGTATCAGAGCCTTTTGCAGATACTTTACTGTTCAGCCGGGCTAGCTCGTCACGTGCGTGGCACATGTTGCCACCATAATTAAGCAAAAATAAAAAATAAAATTCAGTTGGGAATAATAATGGTGTTTTCTGATGATTTGAGTTTTCATGCCTTTTTTTCTGCAGTGTGTTAGGTGGCTGTCAGGTTCAGTTAGTACCCATTACTTTGGCATTTCATCTCAGCCTAATTTCTTGATTTTTTCTTTCTCTCAAATCAAATCCTACAGATTATATTCTAACTGCTAAAGCCTGAACCTTTATAAATGTATTTATTTGGTTTTTATTTTTCAGTGTATTTTTTTTTCTTTTAATTTTGAATTTTGGAAAAGAAACTGATACATTGTTTTTGAACTTCATAATTGATGTGATGATTTAACGTTGGTTGCATAAACTTTTCAAAAAGTTGATGCAACTAATCCTGTTTTGTCATCTTTACTTTGAGAACATCTAACATGCTCATTTTACAAATTATTTAAATCTTTAATTTAATTGAAACTTTCTACAGGTCTCTATTTTCCAAATATATAAATAAAGATTAATATATAATTTAGTCATCCACTATAATTAAGTACAAAAAGCGATTTAGGACTAAATTTAGAAAAACCATTAAGGGGTGTTTGGTTGGATGGAAGTCAAATTCCATGGAAAATGTTTTCCTAAAAGTGTAGGAAAATGTTGTTTTATGTTGTTTGGTTGGATGGAAAATCTTTTCCATAGGAAGTTGAGTTCCTAAAGTTGAAGGAAAACAAAATCCTAGCAAGACATTGTATTTTGTTTTCCAAAGAATTTGGGAAGAAAGTATTACAATATTGGACTATTTTACCCTCCTCAAAGTTTATTAATTACACATGTATATATTATTGTTAAGGGCATATTGGTCTTTATATTCATAATTCCTTACCATTCCAAACCCAACCAAACAATAGAATTCATATTCCCAGTAATTTATTTTCCACCAACCAAACAATGGTATCCATTTTCCTGGTAATTTGTTTTCCATGGAATTTGAATTCCATTTCCCATCAAATATTTTCCAGCGAACCAAACGGGCTGTAATATAGTTGAGAACTAAAAATATTATCTATTTTCTTTTTTTGAATTTTCAATTTCTCTAGAAAAATGTGACTAAGGTAGAAGATTAGGGAGGAAGGAACAATAACCCCAAAGCAAAAGTTTGTGTTTCTTTGGAGTATGGGCTGTATGGCCAGTGCAAAAATTTCCTAATTAAATAAATTGGATTGGAAAAATATTATTTAAAAATCATTAGGATTGATCTGTAAAGTCAAAGATGGACATTAAATTCTCTGTCTTTTATGTGATAGAAGAAGTGGCAATTTGCATTTAGGCAAGAACAAATTTTGGAAATATAGGAAGAAAGAATTGCAGAAAAATAGTGGATTAATTACTATATTCTTCGATTTCTGCAACATTGACTTTAGGAGCATGTATTGTACACTCAAATCTGAGTAAATTTGTAAAAAAAATAATTGACATTTTAGCAGTATTCAAGACAAGTGGACCAATGCAGTTGAAATACTGAGCCAAAAACATGTGTGAATTATTGTACATTCATCTCTCAGTCTGCAACCTATGCAGTTATGTTGCTGCAGATTTATGAATGTATAAAAATATTTTGTCATTTTGCTTTTTGACATTTATAATGCTTGGTCTGAACCTCAACCATGTGACTAAGTAATCAAGTTCTTGATTGTCCAAACACTACATATCCTTATTTTTATCAATTCCTAGGAAGAAAATTATTGCTAGGATGGTAGAACCTAGCTACAGTACAGCTAATCAAGCTTATTTTACAACATATTCTTGCATTGAAACAAACATTGGTGAACTTACTTTCAGCAAAAAATTAGTGAAAAAGTTGGAAAGGATTTGAAAGTGGTAGCATTGAAGCGCTTACCATTATGCCATGAGAAGCTCGTTGAACTCCGACTAGGAAATGGAGGGAACTACGAGCAACATTACTAGTGATCGGTATGCAAAGATCAAACAAGGTTCTTGGTTCAATCAATTCCGGGACGGCTCCAATCCTTGGATGGCAAGATATGTGTATGGTTTGATGTTTTTGGGCGCGAATTTGCTGGCATGGGCTGTTCGTGATTATGGCACGAGCGTTACAAAAGAAATGAAGCGTAAGACTGCTAATGCATTTTTCAGTTTATACATACACACCATATATATATACTACTCGATTTATTGCATCAAAAGCATGTTACAAATTAGAGTACTGGAAAATGAAGCTCTCAAAGAAATTTGTATGGCTGCAGGAGTGAAAGATTGCAATGGCGGTGAAGATTGTTTGGGTACTGAGGGGGTTCTGAGAGTAAGCTTGGGTTGTTCTGTATCCTTCTATCTCAGAAGTATAGTTAAACAATATAGTTATTTTTCAGTAATGGTTTTTGCTGTCTCTTTATATAAAATTAGAGTTGAACCTTGACGTTTTCTTCTAGTTGTTCTATTTTGTAATGTTTCTATCTACAGCGGGGACTTCAAAGTTGAGTGATCGACGAGAAAAGTGGCACTCGGGGTGGTGGCTAGCCAAGATTGCCATGCTGCTTGCACTAATCCTACTGCCCTTTCTGCTCCCTGTGGAGATCATTTCAATCTATGGTTAGTGTAATCTCAATCTGATTTTAACATTACCACCCAGTTTCATCCCAAATCGCGAGTTAATAATTCTCGGATGTTTTTGCCTTTCAACAGGAGAGGTTGCACATTTTGGAGCAGGGTATGTTTCACATTATATTCAAGATCAATTAAGTAATGCTCGACACGAGAAATAACTCTTTCGAAACCCATTTGCAGGGTGTTTTTACTAATTCAGTTGGTGAGTATAATCAGTTTCATCACTTGGCTTAATGACTGTTGTTACTCTGAGGAAAATGCTGATAAATGGTAAGAGTCTTTTGCCCAGATAAAGCTAAAGAAAGCATCTTTTGTTTCAATGATTTCATGTCAGTTCTAATAGGAAGTAAGGTCTTATTTAATGCAGCCACATTCAGGTGATGATATGTTCTACGGCTGCATACATTGTGTGCATACTCGGGATCATTTTAATGTATATTTGGTATACACCAGAGCCATCTTGCCTTCTCAATATTTTCTTCATATCTTGGACTCTAGTACTTCTCCAGGTTATGACCAGTGTCTCTCTCCACCCAAAAGTAAGTCTCACATTTCTTTCTCCTTGATTGAGTTTATTTGGGACGACGAGGGAAACCTGCAGCCACTACCCAAGAGTGTGAACTGGGTAAACCCCATCTTGTGACCCAGTCAGATCCAAGAAGGCCAATAGGCCACTTCCACTGGGAGTCGAATTTGTAACATTGTAATTATCAAGTCAACAGTCTGACCAACTTGGCTGGCTGGGGTTGCGCCCTCCTTGAGTTTATTTTGAAGCTACACTATAATAGTTTGTCTGAATTGATGGTTGTTTTCTGTTTTGGAAACAGGTGAATGCTGGTTTTTTGACTCCTGGTATCATGGGACTTTACCTTGTGTTTCTCTGCTGGTCTGCCATCAGAAGGCAAACTTCAAATACTGCAGACATTTATATGTTTCTTGTTCTGGGAATTATGGCATTTCTCACGTGCTTTTTTACAGTGAACCACCAGAAGAAAAATGCATCCGAAAGGCGAAAGCTGCTACTTCTAAAGGAGATGTGCTCACTATCATAGTAATTCTTGACCTCAAAAGCCTTAGTATACATATTGCATCTGTTATGTCTTTTTTTCATCTCTCTCTCACTTGGAACTGGATCTCTTAATGGCAGAGCTTTGTTGTGGCAGTCCTCGCGATCGTGGTTGCAACTTTTTCGACAGGAATTGATTCAAAATGCTTCCAGGTTTTACACTTAATTACTTCACTTCTTTCTCAAAACATGCTGAAAACCGAAAACTTATGTGACAACAAAAGGTGCAGTTCTGGAAGGATGACAAACAGGATTCAGAAGGAGAAGAACACAAGCATGTCCCATATGGTTATGGATTCTTCCACTTTGTCTTTGCAACAGGCGCCATGTACTTCGCAATGCTGTTAATTGGCTGGAATGCTCACCACTCCATGAAAAAGCAAGCTCCTTTTCTTGTGAATGTTCAACAGTTTTTTATCCTTAATTACTCCTAACAACAGTGATAGAATTCATGAGCCCGCACGGCCTGAGTGGTAGATTGTGGGCAAGGACACAGGATTGAGTCTTGGCAGCCCCAGTATTGGAGTGAAACTCAATGTGGTGAACTCCTTGTGGGCACCAGGCACGGGTCCTCCCACCTACCTAATGGGTCACTAAGTCACGGTGACTTTCCCTTCCACTATCCTATCAGACCGGGGTATAGAGGTTCTGAGGCGAGGGAATTTCGCCCTTTTGTGGGCAAGTGATGGAATTCATGAGTTTGCACGGAGAGTTCAGTTAGTTTCTGAGTGATAAATTGTGGGCAAGGACACAAGATTGAGTCCCTCTCACCTACCTAATTGACCACTAGGTCACTGTAATTTACCCCTCTATTAACCTGTCAAGTCGAGACCTGGGGGCTAGGAAATTTCGCTCTTTTGTTGGCAAGTGATGGAATTCATGCCTTTAAATCGGTTTTCTTGCAGGTTTACAATTGATGTTGGCTGGACAAGTACTTGGGTGAGGATAGTGAATGAGTGGTTAGCTGCTTGTGTTTATAGTAAGTATTGTTCACCATACAATATAAAATATAAATTTATAGTCTAACTATCAGAATATGAAAAATATTCGGTCCAACTTTCAGTTTAGACTTACGAAACTTCCTGAATCTTTACGTCCTGCAGTATGGACGTTGATTGCTCCACTTGTATGGAAGGCGAGGCACGTGGGCGAATCGCGGGTGTGACCAATGTACACCATTGTTGGCGGATGGCATGGCTGTCAGTTTGATGGAAGCAGAAGAGTATCTGCAGATTCAACAGTGATCAAAAGCATTGGGAAGCAATTAACATTGTACTGTGGAACTGATCATTCGTTTGATATTTTGGGTGAAACGAAATGAAATCCTAGTAAAATTATGAATGCCCTGGTTGTTTGTCCACCCCAGAAACACATCTAAGATACCTGTACATACCCTACTGAAGCACCGGTACAGATTAATCCTAGCATCCTTGTTTTCTTTGACATGTAAAACAGTAGGAAAAAAAATGACAAAATATTCATGAAGTTGGTGTTGATGTCATGTTAGTCCTCTTTCTTTTTCTGTTACATTGACACTATAGTTATACTACTTAAGTATAGAGGAATGGTTTGGCAGGGGATGGGTTAGGACTTAGGAGGGATTAAGTCATTGATTAGTAAGAATTCAGTGAAATAGGCATCACCTAAAATATTATCTAGAACTAATCCTTGGCAAAACGTCATTTGTTTGTGCACAATGTTTTAAATCTAAGAAAGTTGAACCGACCAACCATGTGAGATCCGCTAACCTCAAAACCAACAGACAAAGGAATACCAAGTAAAATTATTTCTGTGTTTTAAGCAGAAAATAGAAATAGAAGGCAGCTTCTTGGAACATACTTATATTGACAAATTCGTTACTTGCACATCCCACTTCAAAATAACGAAACAAAAGAATGTAGATCTCTACAGTACTACCAATACAACCTGTATAATCAAATTTGATCATTCAAAGAAACTTACCACAAAGAAAAAAAAAATTCCTATCTTCAAAATAATACACATTGATAAAAAGAAAATAAAAATAAAGAGGAAAGTGGATAACACCCACGAAAACTATTACAATAATACACATGTAGGTGCAGCACAAAATGCAATCAGTTGGCGCAGATGCATGCGGCTAGCCCCATAAATCACACTTTCGATGTGTAATTGTAGTCACTCACCACTCGGGGCATCACACACAAGAGATATATCAGAGCCTGGCAATTATTGATGCAATCACCAAGTTGTTTCTGCTGTTCACCCAAATGGGTTCCCAGCAGGAGGAGAGAAGGTATTCTGGGCAGCAGGAGCTGCATGTAGTCCACCAAGCTGCTGACTTGTATGCATAGCTCCAAACGCAGCCCCATCAAGGCCAAAGCCTAATGCTTGGTCACGTGGCCTGCAAGCATTCCACAAGGCAATCGGATCAAGATGTTCCATCGTGAAGTATTTAAAATTAGAGGTTTTATGATAAAAGAAAACAATACCTTTGTGGCATGCTACCAGCTAGATTTTGGCCCATATATGCATCTGAGAATTAAAATTAGTCAACATGTGTAAAACATATATAGAAGAAGCAAGAGTAAAGACAGAAGTTGGTACTTGGAGGTTGTGTTGAAGCATAAGATGGTGGCTGCTGAGGCATTCTGTATGGATGAGGCGTAGGGGTCCCAAGGCTGGATGTGCGATGCAAGCCTGTTGGAGCTCCCACGTTTGGCAGTGCACCTTGTAATGAAGCCATTGATGGAAACTGCAGCAATGGATCATCATGTAAAGGGCACAAAAGATGCTCAAATATAATTACCACTACTTCATATGCAACATATTGTGCTGTGCTTACTATCTATGGATTGAGAAGAAGATTACTATTCTGTATAACTTTGGGTTAACTTAGTGAATCCACTCAAGTTAAGACCAATGGAGAAAATTTTGAGATATCTAAATTCTAAATAAGATCAAATTTACAGCTAATTGAACGTGTGGGAAAAAAAATCATAAATAAATGTAACAAACAGCTAATTAAACAAATTATTCACTGGAAAAACCCCATTCAAGCAAAAACATTTCAGCTGCACAATCTACTTTCACGATAGAATACTGTGTTGCTTTTGGGTTTTTTTATTGTGTGGATTTTCTTTTTAGTATACACCCAGTGGCGTGAGTGAGGAACTTCATCAGTTTAAACATTTTAATAAATACCTAAAAACAATGAGCAGGGACACTTCAATAATATTCTATCTGCTTACCGTTGAAGCTTGTAAAGGAGAGGGCTCACTGGTTGCGTCAAAAGGATTTGATGATTTTATTGGCTGCACAAGGGTAGGTGTTTGCTGATAAAGAAATAAATTGCCTTAGTAATGCTTTGCAATAACAGATGTAACCAAAAAGGGACCAGCCAACAAGAAGCAGAGTTGTTTTATGCATAGATACCACTTGCATGTTGTATGGCATGGAGAACCCAATTCCATGTGGCGGAGCAGCATACCAGCCTTGCATTGGCGCGTACATGGGTGGATAGGTTGCAGTGAATAAATCCTGCAGGAAAATCATAATAACGGTAAATATAAATAGTAAAAGATAAATATACAAGGGATTGAGACAAGATAGAATAATTCCAGTTTTAGTCCCACAACTACAACATTTTTTTTTCATTTTTGGCCCTCAACTTCAAAATCAGCCATATTTGGAAATTTGACATTTGAAAACTTGCCATTTTTAGTTTCAGTCAGGTACCAATCGTACTAAATTTGGTCCTCGAATAACTAATGTGGCAAGTTTAGAAAATCAAGTATCAAATATCAAATTTGATCAACTTTGAAGTTGAAGACCAAAACTGGAAAAGACCTAATACTCGAGGGACTAAAACTGGAATTAACCTGAATGGATAGAAACAAGAATGATGAGCTCACCGCCGGGAGTTCTTTTCTTCCACCAGAAGTGGCTTCCAAGGCACGCTCAGTTACTATTTGAGGACCTTGAGCATTTGCCGTATTTAAAAGTCCAGGGGCAGCTGCCGGATTCCATGGCTGTCATATTTTTTTAAGAATAAGGACAAGCAATATGAAAGCAACATAGTAGTGCTACACTTCCAGAAAGAGTTTAAACCACCGCTTTTGGTCTTTCAACTATAATGAATCTAATGACATTTCTACTTTTAGTCCTCGAATATCAATGACTAAATTTAGTCTCTTTATAGAATCAACCAAATTTAGTCCAAATACCCCCAGTTTCTGGACATTTCCCAAGCTTACCCCCTTCTATAAGTTAACTAAAGCATTTTGGACATTTTAGACTAATATTGGTTAATTAAAAAAAAAAAAAAAACTAAATTTGGTAAAATTTATAGAAAAGGACTAAAAGTGGACTGCCACTATAGTCAAGCGACCATAAGTGGTATTAACTACTTCAAGAAAAGATAAATTAGAAAGCAAACCTGATTCCCAGAAGGTCCACCAACTACTGGAATTGAGTGATGAGGAAGAGATGGGCTCCCAGTACCTGGGAAAGCAGCTGAGGTTGCATGTTGAGGCTGGTTCCCAGGAAGAGGTTGGCTTCCAGGATGCTGAGGTTGCATGCTGGACCATTGCGCTCCAGTAACATGTGTAAACGGAACTTGCAATAATGATGCTGGTCCAGAGGCAACAGCTGAAACACCACCAGGAGGAAACGCAGTTGGACCAAAACTGCTCAAGGGAGGAACAGCAGCTGGAATAGGTGAACTGCTTGAAGCTGGCAAAGTGCTAACAGGAGCAGCACTGGCAGGACTCCCTCCCAAGTGAGTAGAGGTGGGTGGTGCAGGAGCCATCAACTCTGAAAGTACGTCCAGAGGATTGGTGTTTGAAGGTGCTTTCACTGACACTGACTCAAAATTTGCCCAATTGTCAGCACCAGATGGCGTTGGTTGAGATACAGGGATGGCTGTAGCTAATTGTTGTGTTTGTTGCACTGCAGCAGTTGGTGGGGGTTCAGGAACAGCTTCAAAATCAATTAGTGAAGTTTCTGTCTTAGTTTCAGCTGGGTTGCCATTTGAGGATGCCAAACTAGTGGAGGAAGCAGTCCTCTGAAAAGAACATGTTAATTAATTCTATAAGGTCGGCGTCTACTTTGGCATAATATGTATGAATTGATTGAATTCTATTAATTTCGTTTAATTTTACTTAACACTAATATATGATATGAATAAACATGTGGACATGGAGATGCTTCTAGGGAAATCAATTTGTAATCTACAGAAATTTTTCAGAAACATTAGTAGCTCCTATCATCAAATGTGACAAATTCAGTACAATTCAAATATACAATTTCTATTCTGTTCTCTCATTAGTAAGCTGATTGCAAATGGACAAGTTTACTGTAATTTATGTGTATCTCCAACACTGCAGACAATAGAATAATACCTTAAACAGAGAAAAATTCATACCTGAGTTTGTACAGGAGCATCAATAGGCCTGATACTGTTAGCCTTTGGAGGTTCAATAACTCGAAGAGGAGAAACATTCTCTCCAAGAATATCTCGTACAGGTCGAACCATTGGGGGACTCGGTGTGTCCATATCACTTCGACGATCAGGTGACTTGACTTCAACCTTAGAACCACCATCAGAATTTCGACTCTCCTCAAGTCTCCTACCATTCCCAAACCTATCCTCCCGCCGCCAGTCATTGATTACTTCACCAGAGGGACTTCTCTTGTAATCGTTGTACTGCCGATTGTCCTGATCAGGACTTCTTCCGCCAGAGCTTTGTGAGCTACCCTGATAAGTATCAACCCTCCTGTTCCCATTTAGGTCTTCAGTTTCACCCTGTAGATATTAAATGCACATCAACATCTATTGCAGTCAACATATGCAGAGGGATTCACAAGATAGAGTACAATAAAAGGGAAAATTTTGAACTAAAAATAAATAAACAACTAAGAATTCTTAAAGTGTAAATAAAAGTTAGAGATCAGTAGGGCAATAAAAGAAACCAGAAAAAATACACCACCTTTCCTCTTGGGAACCCCCTCTCACCCGTGTATCTTCTATCCACATAAACATGCTTAATAAAATCACGAAGCCTCTCTACATTACTGAAAGCAAACAAATAATTAGAACCACATTTTATGTTCATAAACATTAATATACAGATATATACAAATATATAAACCTTCCATCAGGGAGAGAATTGCGTTGTGGATCCAACTCCTTCAAATAAATTTCCTTTGCACTCTGTGAACATGAGAAAATAATAAGTGAACTACTAGAAAAGAAAGAAGGACCACGATGCAAGTGAGTCCTGTATGATTACAAGCTGAGCATACCGCATTTCCACCTCCTTGTAGTGCACTAACTTCTTGTGAAGTAAACTTAGCCATGGATACTGACTTTACTCTGTGTGTAAACTCCCGACTGCAAACATTTTCAAATTTATAAGTCATCAAAAGAAAAAAGATTAGCAATTAAACAAAGTACCTAGAGAGTTTGAAAAAATTCTATAGAAGGCCTCAGGTGGACAAGAGAAGTATGCACCACTTTGAGATGAACTTGACTTACTGTATGCCACTGCAGGTTGTGCAAATAAACGTTGAGAAGTTAATGCAGACATATTGAGGACCCTGCATAGGTGCAAATCATGTAACTTATATGAGTGTAAGCAAAATGTCACAATTACAAATCAAGTAGGCAGACAATTGAACTTTATGCACATTGGTTTCAATGACACATAGCAAAAAGAACTCTTATTATTTAATAGCCGAGGTGCTGATGCTGATTCTCATTGGCCTTCGAGTTTACATAGCATATCATACGAAGTACAAACAATTATCACAAGTAAAAATAACATGATCACTCATCAAAAACAAAAGCAATGAACAGAGGAATATAGGCACATGCCCTGAAATTCACGATGTTGATCATTTTCCTTCATGTATACCAAACCCTACTAAAGAAAGTCAATCGGCAAAGATTATAGTTATTATTCACAGCACTCAACTGTTGGCTCATCAATATATACATAACTAAAATTCCAATTCAACCATTCAATTCACTAATTCAAATCATCAAAGCCACACAACTTTAAAACCAACGAAGCTCATCTCACTTACCAAGCTATTACAGTTTATACACCTCCGGTTGTCAGGCAGCTTAAGTAGGCCCCGTATAATTCTCTCATTCTTCTCGTCCTCTTTGAACCGATTCGCCATTTGGACACCAATCAAAGTCCTATTCTTCTCAATCCTCTACCACCGGAAAGTAAAAAATCAAATTAAACAAACAGAATTGTCCACGAAAATTCATCCTTCACGGAACAAAAACAAAACGATACTTCGAGAAGTCCTCCGAAGTTGAAAGGTTTAGAAGCATCAGATCTGGCACAACTACAGCCATCAAAGCTGACTAAGAAAAACACCGGAATCAAGCAATTCAAAAAGTCGGAATATACAAAATACACTCACCTGAGGGATAGACAGGGTGGAACTGGGAGGAATTGGTAGGGGTTTTACAGATCTTCAGTTTTTGGAAACAACGGATTACAGCTCAGAGTGCTTTTCTGAAAACACGAAGAGAGAGAAAGAGTGGGTGAAATTATAGGATGCTGTGCGTACTCATAGGAGAAAAGTATGGATTCTATGTCTAGCATAGGATGGTTGAATTTGACGGACTGGTCTCACAAGGCGACTACCCTGAATATGAATCATTTTTCACACCCCTATATTTATTTATTTTTCATACATCACTTTCGTTAAAATAAGACTTTATTATAATCAATCAAATATTCAACTCAACTAGCTCTTCGGAACATATCCCAAATCCCAATATTTCTAAGCAATTCATTCCGATATATACACACACATATATATAATTGAAGAACATCTCCACTCTTCAAAAATGTTTAATTAAAATAAATTTTATCATATTTATAATTAAAAAAAAAAAACAGAGTTTTTTGCACTTTTGGTCCCACGATTATAGTGGCACTAGCAGAATTGATCCACGACTTTTGATCTTTGCAATTTTAGTCCACCACTATTGATTTTTTTACAAAAATGATCCTTCCGGCCACTTTTCCGTCAAAATTCCACCAGAAATTTTTTTTATCCATTTTTAACAGGGCTAAAATTGACATTTTACTTATCTCAAAAAAGCAAAGAAAAAAATTGACATTTGACTACATACAATATTACTGGGCTACATACTACTGCCCCAGGCGGCGGAGTTCCTGGAGCAGGTAGGGCTGTCAGTAAGCGGCGGAGCGGCCGTGGCGTTCCCGGGCTAGTTGGGTTATCCGGCAGCAGCATTGGAGGCGGAGCCAGCACGCCTGCGGGATCATCCGAAGACATCGGAAAATCTTCGTTGTATAGATTCCCGGCGAGAGAAGCGGCGGAGATTCTCAAATGCAATCGCTTTTACCTTTCTGTTTTATGTATTTCCTTTATATTTTGAGATAAGTAAAATGTCAATTTTAGCCCTGTTAAAAATGGATTTAAAAAAAATTCCGGTGGAATTTTGACGGAAAAGTGGCCGGAAGGATTATTTTTGCAAAAAAATCAATAGTCGTGGACTAAAATTGCAAGGTTCAAAAGCCGTGGATCAATTCTGTTAGTGCCACTATAGTCGTGGGACCAAAAGTGCAAAAAACTATAAAAAAACATTTCAAAGCACGAAATAAAATTAATTTTGGATAACAAATTTTACCCGTGTGTTCTCGAAATTCAGTTTACAAAATGTATGTAAATTATGGTAACTCAGCTGAACACAGGGACTAGACATTTGCTTACTACGCACGGTGAAATTCATTCCCGAATCATTATTCCAAAACTTTACCCTGTAACTAACTGAGCTGTCCATGCGAACCCTTTTACATATTATCATATTTGAACTAGACATGACCACTTTTAATTTAATATAGTTTTTTTTTTTTTTTAATTTGGGTTATAATTGAATAAGTTTTCCAAACATTTTCCAACATCTTATGCATGTGCAGACTGGTTGGGAGAATATAATGTACAAACTTACAGCAGTAGAAGACTAATAATGTGTGCTGTGTGCATCACACAGAGTCACAGACTATATTATATTCTATATATACTTGCATGATGTTATGATTTACGACATTGGATTCTAATATAATTCACATACAAATGCATAGTACAATTTATAGGGGTCACATAGGATTATGTTTTAATTTGAGGAACATAACATCCTAGTTGTCCCTATAAAAGGATGAAATACTTCGTCTATTCTTCTTGATTTTAGTAATGTTTACAAATAATATAAATGAACATTTACGGTTTAAAAAAAAAAAAAGTGAATTTCATTGCTTTATATAAAGGATAAATACATCTTATATTTTGTAAGCATATATATAAGTGAAAAATAAAGTTTTTTAAGTTTAGTTCTTATGTGTAGTTTGTAAGTTATTAATATTATTATTATTATATATATATATATATATATATATATATATATAAGAACAGAATTTACGTAACAGTATATATCTTTAATTTAATAGTGAAGACGTTATAGAAATTTTTAATTTTTCTCTCTTTCTTAAAGTAGAATTGTAGACCTTTTGTTTATATCTAACAAAAATTAATTAAGTAATTTTTCTCTCTTTCTTAAGGGACTGTTTTATGTTTTCAATATTTACATTATTATAGATTACAACTAAATATAGTAAATGCTAGGGAATATAAAATCTAGAAAAATGAATGTTAGTTACGTCTGTGCTTTCTGGTCACACTCACTATTCAAGGTTCAATTTGTGGTATTGTATAAGCCAGAAATTGACTTCCACATTTCAAATATAACTACTTTTCCTAATCTTGTTTTTTTCCTTAAAAAAAAAAAAAAAATTCTTCTAGATGCATAAATTTCTTTCTAATCATGCACCGCCTTCTATCCAACCATCAGATTCAATTCTAATACCACGTTATCTTCTAGAAGACATAGTTATTTATAGACTTAATACCCAAAATGGTCCCTCGACTATGTCATAATTACCAATTTGGTCCTCAACTACCATTCTTACCCAATTAAATCCTCAACTATGTAACTTTTACTCAATTAAGTCCTCAACTATACAATTCTTACCCAATTTAGTCCTCTGTATTAATTTGACTGTTTGTTGACTGTCAAAAGTCGGGATAAAATTATAATTTTACAAGATTTCTCCTTCCTCTCCATTTAGCAGCGCCAAACCATGCAGCAATACACTCCGATCAGATTTCGATCGTCAAAAAATCGTTGGAAATCAAATTCATGGGTTATCTGATGCATAACCACTACTTCGATACTGACAGGTTTAGAACCCAACCGGAGCTTATTGCTACATGGTTTGGCGCTGCTAAATGAGGAGGAAGGAGAAAACTTGTAAAATTACAACTTTATTTCCACTTTTGACAGTCAACAAACAGTCAAATTGACAAAGGACTAAATTGGGTAAAAATTGTATAGTTGAGGACTTAATTGAGTAAGAATGATAGTCGAGGACCAAATTGGTAATTATGACATAGTCGAGGGACTATTTTGGGTATTAACTCTTATTTATATACTTCGTAAAATTTAAACTATTTGACACATTTTATTTAATTAATTTCCATTGATAATAATTAGTTAATAAATAAGTAAATATAAATATTATTTTATCATTAAATTATAAACTTATTTTGAATTAATTAACCAGAAGCAATGGTATAATATTTACTATAGTATGCAAGTCTTTTTAGTTGACTGCTCCCATGAAAGAAAACGTACTGTAATATAATCACATATAAAGTGGATTAGTTGATTTTTCTTTTTCAAATCAGGGCTCTTTTAAATTTTATTTTCTATAATATAATAGTTCTAGTTTAAAACTTTTTTTTTTTTCTAACAAGATTAATTGTAGTTGTAGGATATGTTTGAACATTTTGAAAATGACATATGGAAGTTATTTTCTAAATTTTTTAGTGTTTTGATATCAATTAAAAAATATTTATTATAGTCAAAATGACAATTTTGAAAAAAAAAAATGTTTATTAGAATTTTATTTGTAAGACATTTTATGAATTCCTATTTCACGGTCAATTTTCTCTATCCTTTCTATGTGGTGTTAAATGAGCAAGTCAACTCACCATTTGTCTAATTATTATTTGACCTATACTAGGCTAGTCCACTTAAATATGAGTTTGGTTGAGTTGTGCCAAATAATAAAAATATTAACCTGACCCGACTGATAGCTCAAAAGATTAAAAGATATTTAAAATTTTTACTTCAACCTTCTTATTAGTTTATATATATATATATATATATATATATATATATATATATATGCTTTTCAGATTTTTTTTTCCCTTCCCTCTCATCCTCTCTTTTCTAGACACATTTGCAAAAACTCCTCAAAAACAATGCATATTGAGGATGCTCTTAAAGTGAATACACAAATTGAATATGACTAATCTCGCATTAGTAAGAGCATCTATCTCAATAGAGATTTTTGGGTGATTTTTTAGGAGATCTAATCCTATGTGAAAGAGAGAGGGGGAGGAGAGAGAGAGACTGTGTGTTCTGGGTCTTAAGATAAGGACTTGATTTTTTGTCTTGTGAGTGGGCTCCACACACACACAAAAACCTCCCCCTGGTGTGCGTGAGGTACATTAGAAGTGCCCAGCCGGGCGCGTACACTCTACATGCCCATTGGGAGTGTTAACATTCCGATTTTTTTCCTAAAACTTAAAAAAAAAAAAAAAAAAAAAAAAATTCTCTCTCGATCTATTCTTTCCTACTTGCCTCTTAAAAACTTGTGTAAAAAACTAACTTTTGGCAATGCTCTATCTAATATAGAAAATTGTTTCTCATCCTACTTATGACTTTGTTCACGACCAAGCGCGGATACTAAAAAAAAAAAAAAAAAAAAAAACTCAGCGTAGAAAACTGGAAAAAAAAATGAAAAGATGAAAATGTTCTTATATTACCTAATATAAGATTTCAACGAAAAAGTCATTAGAATGACCAAAAGTATCAAAAATATGATCGTCTGGGTATTAAATGACAAAACAATAGTCTATCACTAAATTTGAAATTGCTATAAAAAAAAAAATGAAAGCTCCGCTAAAATTAACTCATTGAATAAGTGTTAATCTCAATTCTCAAATGTTGTAATTCAATATGAGACAATATCCAAGAGACTTTAGAAAATGTATTTAACGTGACATGCATGGCAATCTAGCCATGATGAAAGTTGAGATATCATGACAAGGCTATAATCATGACACAGGCGATATAAGAGGATCACTGTATACTAAAAAAACATCCTTTCAATAACCTAATGTCACATTCAATTCAAAATAATAAAGGCATAGGCTTTACAAATGCATCGTTTATCTCTTTCTTTTTTTTTTTTTTAATTGCTGATGAAAAGGACCGCAACTTTAATAAAATTCTTTTTAGAAAGAATATAGTACTAAGTTACTAACTAATATAGGCGCATAATAATTAATTGTGCAAAAACATTAGCTACAACTCAGCTTTATGTTAATGATGATGAAGGTGGCAACATTAAAGTTATCAACTAATTAAAGCTTTGCTATCAATGCTGTGATAGGTATTGTCTACTTGAAATATTAAGGGCTCTTTCAGCAATAATGAAGAGTTCTTGGGCTTAAAA